CCAGCGCAGAGTCCACCTGTCTAAGCCGTGAGCCGCCAGCTTCTCTAGGAGAATGCTGTGGGAGACGGTGTCAAAGGCCTTACTGAAGTTCAGGTAGACCACATCCACAGCCTACAGGACTAATTATAGCTAAAGAGGGGAGCTGAAATTAAAACTTGGGAGACCTATCCTTAGAGCACTGACCCACAGGGCTTTATCAATCCCTGCCTGTATCTAGATGTCCCCTTACCTGCTTTAGGTGAAGAATGAGCTGTGTTTTTCTGGCTGGGAGAGAGTTTACGGTAGTGCCAGTGTTATCAAAGAGGACGAGTCTGAGCCTCTGCTGTGCCTCTGTCACCTGCCACTGCATTGCCGCTTCTGGAACTGCATGAGATCTGCTATTTTTTGGTTTTTATGTGTCTACCTGCAAGAGGAGCCAAGATTTAAAGAATATCCATCAGCATGGCAGGAGGTAGATTGGACACACGGGCCTTACCGTGATGTGCTCCTGAGCCAAGTCTTGTTTTTCCGTACTGAGAGGTTCTCAGGGAGTTCTCCGTGCGTGTCTCAGGAGAGTGCTGGGGCTTTGTCATGTCGGGATTACAGATCAGCCTTGCAAAATGCTTCTTGTCTGAGCCACATAGGTATTTTCAATTCCTGCGTCAAACACTGGCCTCATTCAGCATCACAGTCTGAGTGAACAAGAGATGTAAACGTTGAGAGGAGCATAGCAGTAAATCATATCATGTCATGCGGTGGCACAGTAGCTTCTGGGGGACCACGAATTGTGCCATTGGGTTCCCCGTCATAGGCACAGGAACTGAAATCAGTAGCTGACGCAGGGTGAGTCAGTGTTACCCAAACCTGATGAGTTTGTAGCTTGTAGGAATTACCCAAATGCCTTCTGCAAACAGCAGCTGATACAGGGATGTAGTAAGTCAGGGGAATTTGGGGTTCTGTTACCAAGCCTGTTCTCAAGTGGCTTGCACGGTTTCCCTTTCTTTTCTAAGGGAAATACTCTCATTGAGACAGTTGTCTGGCTCATTTATGCCCTGCTTCTAAGGGAACAATGCGTCCTTGTAGTGGAGCCCACCTCAAAGTCCCCTCGGGCAGTCTGCGATGCTGGTGAACTGGTCCTCCTTCAGCTCCAGGAGTTTCACAGCCTGTATCTCAAATGTGTGGAGCCTAACAGCTTGATTGTTTTTTCAGCTTATCATTCATCCCCAGAAGCTATTTTTTATCTGTATCTTGTGCCTTCTACATGTATCCTTCCCCAATCACACACACTCTCTTCTTTTGACCACACAGCCCAAATCCTGTCAGTCCTTGTTCTCTGAATCAATGATTTTGGAGTCCTCTTCCTCTAGCCACGAGCCCTTCCTCCCACCTGATTTCAGCTGGCCCCCGATACCAGCTATGTTGGTGCAGACTTTCAACCACAGGAGCAAATTCTCAGGACACAGGAGCAGGCGATGTCTTGAAGGAGACAGAGGAGATAAAAATGCAGAGCTCTGAAGCCCAGTAGCCTGGCCACGCTAGCAGAGGCGAGACCCGAGACACTCCAAACGTGTGGTTCTGCTACAGCTGCTTACAGTCATTGCTGCAGTGATTTGCAGTCTGGCAGCATGCTGGATGCTCTGCAAAGGCCCAGCTAAGCCAGACCTGAGAGCCTGCAAAGTAAAGAACAAGAGAAATTTAATATGCAGCTTTGCCATGTTTGCCCTGATTGCTATTTTAATGTATTCGAAGAGGAGAGAAAGGGAGGGAGGTGATAACTTTTCCCGGAGCCCCTGCTCTTGGGTTTTAAATAATTTATTCCACCAAGAGCTAAGGATTAGACTGCAGCCTGCCCTTGTCCTCCTGCAGAAGCGTGGAGGAGTCATGCAGGGACCTCCTCTTCAGCTGCCCCAGCCCGTTTCTGCCCTGCAGAAAGGTATATATGCAGAAAGGTATATAAGATCTGTATGAAGCTATAAAGTTAACCAGTTCCTCTAGAAAAAGGGTTACTTTCCATCCATGCACCACTTTTTTTTGGTTTTGATACCCCAAACAGACCTAAACCCACAGCCAAGCCTCACCACTTGCTGGAGCTTGCTGCAGTGGAGTCATATGTGAGAACCTTCCCCTTATCCCTGACCTTGAAGGGTCTGCCCAGGATCGGGAACCCCTCTACCTAAAAAAGCTTTGTAAAGCCTTATATTTTCACAGCTCCCTCTAGACAGGGTGCTTTGTCTTTGTGATCTAGACCACAGACCCCTGACACCAGATCTTACCCCTTGGTACAGATGGGGAAACTGAGGCACAGAGCGCAGCTCTGTGAATTGGAAAGGCCGTGCCAGGAATTCACAAAAGTGCTATATAAAGGGCACTAGAGTCCTGATTCCCCTTCTGCTCCATGACCTCTAGGCAGTGCTCTCCCAGAGTCACACACTCTTCTCCCGGTTTCAAACCTTAATCGGTTTGTGCTGTAAAGGAAGGAGGGAAAGAACCAATCTCAGAGGACCCCAGCAGCTATCACTAGTTTTACCTCTTCCACCTGGGCTGTGGAGTCAGGGCAAATAATCCAGTCCCACGTCCAGTCCCAGCCCATTTTTTTGCAGTGGTTGGATTGGCAGCTGCCAGAATTTCCCCACTGCTTCCTTGGCCCGTGACACATTTTCCCTTCCAATAAGTACTTGCTTAAATTCCCTTCCTTGGAAATCCATTCTTTCACTAATGCCGCTTTACATTAATTTAAACCAGCCTGCACTGCAGCCTCTACGTTATGCCTTCTCTTCAGATGATCTTTTACTTATTAAAAGAGGCACCTCGGCTCCTGGCTCAAATTTTATTTTGCATTATTTAATATTTTTTCTCTCAAACTGTGTGTCTCAGTAGCATTGGAGGTCTCTGGAGTTTTGGGCTTGGAGTTCTTCCCATGCTCCCTATTAGCATCTCTCTGCAAGAGGGGTTCATTAAGGGACAAAAAACTCCACTTCCCCTACCCCTGTGAGTCCTTCGCTTTCCGGAAGACTCGTGTTCTTGCAAGCTGAGTGACTAGACACACATCCGTACATCACCATGTATATATATCTTTATGCATCTGTATCTATATACTGCTTTCTATGTGCCGGATACCAAATGGTGATGTCTCGGCTGACGGTAACTACTAGGAAAGAGGAGCCCTCAGTTCCCCATAGTTTGTGTTTTAGCTAGGTGTGTGTCCTGGTTTCGGCAGGGATAGAGTTAATTTCCTTCCTAGTAGCTGGTACAGTGCTGTGTTTTGGGTTTAGGATGAGAACAAAGTTGATAAGGCACCGATGTTTTAGTTGTTGCTAGGTAATGCTTACACCAGCCAAGGACTTTTTAGTTTTCCATGCTCTACCGACTGAGAAGGCTGGAGGTGCACAAGGAGCTGGGAGGGGGCACAGCCAAACTGGCCAAAGGGACATTCCATACCATGTGACGTCATGCTCAGCATATAAAGCTGGGGGAAGAAGAAGGAAGAGGGGGACATTTGGAGTGATGGCGTTTGTCTTCCCAAGTAACCATTACGCATGATGGAGCCCTGCTTTCCTGGAGATGGCTGAACACCTGCCTGCCGGTGGGAAGGA